TGGAGGGCAAAGACCTTGTCTCAGTCTTTCTATAGCTCAGTAATATAGAGTAGGGTTCCATTCACTTATCCAGGCACTTATGCCAAGTGTTGATTGTCTGTAACACTCCTGGGGAGAGGTATCATGTTTATTCCCATTGGACAGATGAGGAAACCAAGCCCTGCAGAGATCAAGCTATTTATTCCAAGTCCTAGACCTTCTGTAAGAAAGAGGCAGGATTTAAACAAATGCAGGACTCTCCTTTGACAGTGCCTTCCAGGAGACATTTGACAATACCTGTCAACCTTTTGGGTTGTTCAACTGGGGGTTGCTACTGGCATCTAGTGGGTAGAGGTCGGGGATACTGTGAAATATCCTGCAGTACACAGGACAGCCCCGCCTCCACAGGTGCATCTACCCCAAAAGGTCAACAGTGCTGAGGGAAAGGAAACAACTTCTGAAACAAACCCCATGCCTCCTAAACTTCAGCTTTCATTACCAGACATTTATGCTCTTTTCTTTATTGCTAAATACTAAAATGTATTTATTTTTTAAGTTGACTTTACATTAATGTACTTAAAAATTAACTATGACTTAAACACGGCTATTTGTGAATTCACATGTTTGATGTGTTCTTTTTTCCTAATATATATGGAAATAAATATGGAAGTGTTAATATAGAAAGATCTTTGCTGGAGGTACCACTAAAAATCATCTCTTGTGCCCCCACCAATCTGGGGGAACCAAACCTGACTACTGGAAGGTTTTCCTTGTCTCTTCAGACAGAGAAAGTGAAATACATCCAGTCAGTGAGTCTGGAAGCTGGCAAGGTGCGAGCTACATTTTGCTTCTGTTTCCTCGCTTTTTTCTCAAGGCTAACAGTTGCTTAGAAACCTCTTTGAAACCCTAAAAGCCACCTGATCAGGACAGCCAACAAACAACTCATTGAGGTGAGGACAGCCACTGCACACATGATTTAATTTGTCCAGCTGCTCATGAACATTGGTTGCAATGTAGCCCTGGTCAGCCACCGTTCTTTCTACATTGTTCCCTTGCTTAATTGTTGGGGAGTAAAACTGCATTCTCCTTGCAGTGAGTGCTGCAGCCTGACATAATTAAGGCTGGAGCAAACGAGATTATTCTTTAGATATTAAAAGTGCCTGTGTTGTAAATAACAATGCCATCTCTTTCATAGAAAGCACTTTCATTATGAGATGCATTTTAATTTCAACACATTTGCATGAATTCATTTAGGTAGTGGTAGTGGAGGGGGACATTTGTGAATGATATTTCATCTTTTACATACTTTCGGGGTGTTTCAATTAGGTATTTTGTGACCAACACCCCACCCCCCATACAAAGCCCCTAAAAGAATCACCCTTTTAAATCATCTGTTCCAAACAAGGACATACTCCAAATAATCACACATGAATTAGGAGGTACTGACTACATCTACTGACTAGATGTGCCCAGAGGAAATCAACTTTTTTGAAGAGTAAATACACAAAGATGATTTTTTTTTACTCTTCTAAATATTTTTTTCAAGGCTTGGGAAACAGGCTGGGGCAGGGTTTCAGGGGACAGCAGTAGCAGCCACCTGGGTGGGCGAACCAGGAGGCACACGATTTAGAATCATTAGCAAATAAGCCACACAAGGTGGATTGGCTGCTTCTTACTGAAGCACAATCCTTGTACTCTTCTTGTCACAAACAGGGGGCAGTCTCTGTTAATTAAAGCCTGGAGCAGCAGCCAGAGTGAGTCTCCTTGGAGGACCAGAGTTAAATGTCCTGGTGACAGCCAATCTTACAGAGATTGGAGGCAGATTCTGAAATGGACTTTTCTATCCATATTTTGTCTCTTTTCTCTATGGTAGTTTTTTTTTTTGTTCTTTTTTTTTTTTTTTTACAAAATCAAATTTAGAAGTATCTTAAAATCCTTAATCCTTGCATGAAGGTGCCTGGGACCTACTCTTCTACTGGGTCCCTGTAAATCATGCTACAATGTTTGCTGGGAGGTACCACAGAAAGGTGAGCACTGATGGGGGCGGCAGGAGATTCCCAGATTAGCAACCAGCTGCTTGCATCCAGCCCTGGCTTTACCATTTTCTAGACAAAACTCTGAACCTCTTTGAGCCTCAGATTCCTGGACCCTAGAAGGCCTGCTGGAAGACCTCTTTGCAAACCTGACTTAGTACTGTGTAGATGTCTCCCAACCCTTTTGCATATGTCATGACTTCAGCAACTCCATCACTGGGATCCTTAATGGATGCACTATGTACTCAAAAATATTTATGCTGAGGGACAGTTGGACAGGAAAGACTCTTTCCATCACCAAGTTTATATCACAGTGTTTGGAGTCAGGCAAAAACCATAATATCAGGTAGATACAGAATTTGGAGGCCTAGTCTAGGAAGGAACTACATGAAGTTGTTAGAACACAGACTTCCCATTTCTCGGGTCCAGTGCCAGCTCCAGCACTCTTGCTGGGAAACCAGAACTATGCTGGGCAATTTGTTTAATTGCTTTGAGACTCAGTTTTTCCCCTTGTGCTGTTGGCCTGATAATGTTACCTAACAGGTAGAGATCTAAATGAGATCCTTCATTCAGTGCTTCAGCAAGTATTTCATGGTTGTCTGCTATATGCACTAGGCGCTGCTCTAAGCTTCCATGAGGTGATTTTAGAAAAAGCAAGCTTGGGAGGGCATGTTGCAAGGGCTGAATAAATGTCAGCTATCATTAGCGCTCACACACCAATGCTTATGTTTGTAGGACTCACAGGGTGGCGGTTGGCGTGGGTTGCCAGTCATGGCAGACATGCCACACTGTCCTATTTTGGGGATCCTATTATAATGAATCTGATGATTTTGGATTGAACAATCTCACACCTTCCCCAGGTGAGGATGAGCTATAATAAATTCCATAACACACAGAGAGAGTCTTCCAGTGGCTGCTCTATTCCTGTATAGGCTCTATTGAGGTTGCCCTGGGTGTGTTGGCCAATCTTTTTTTAAACATCAGAAAGTGGTGTTTCTTCAAAGGAAAGAGGCTATCAGCCAAACTCCCTTTCATTCCGAGAAAACTTACAATGGAGCACCAATAAATCTTACCACGCTTTCAGTTAAGGGGACCTGAACATACCATTTCACATGTGGCCCAACTTCTTGTTCCTTTGAAAATGCCCTGAGAAACCCTTGGCTGCAGCCAAATGGGGAGGGTGATGGAAACATTTCCCCACAAATAGCCTAGCAGACTGCAAAGTGTATACTTAGTTAATGCAATTAAAAAAACAAAACGCCGGGGCGTGTGGAGATCTAAATTTGGTGAAGCAGCTTTGGTACACATCCTGTTTTGGGGGCTACTGAAGTCAAATTCAAGTAGAGAGGAAGAAGTGGGAGAAATGGGAGAGGGCCTACGGATGGCTGGAATCCGCTTGGAGAGAGGGCAGATTTGGGAACGCTGAGAAGAGAGACTGGAAGCCAAGCCAGGCCGAACTCCGCAGCCCCGGGTGAGGAAGCCCAGCGGGCTTGGTGGGGACAGGGGACAAACGATTCGGGAAACCAATGAGCGAGCTCCAGGAACGGCAGGGTGGCTGAGGCTTGAGTCCCCAGGCCTTGCGCTGCGCCAGATCTGGGAGCGCAGAGGCGGCGCCGCGGTGTGCCCTCCTGTGGAGCTCAGAGAACGCGGCGGGGGCGAAGAGCGACCGAAAGCGCGAGGTCTGAGGGGTTGGGAGAGTTCCAAAGAAAGACCTTCCAATTCAGCCGTTGCCTCGGCCTTGTGCGCTGCGTCTCTCTATCCGCTGTGCTTCTTTGACGAGTTCATCCCAAGCCCCTCTCCCGAGGAGTGCTTACCCCAACCCCGGAGGGGGGGCCCAGTGTAGGAGCTTGCCACCCCACCTTCCCAGCCCAGCCTTGGTCCTCGCTTCTGCCCAGGACTTCAGCCATCCTGGTCGCAGGCCGGGTGGAGGGCATAACCCCAGGAAGGGCAAGGCAATTCGGTACGCCTGGGAAGGGCGATCCTGAGCAGACTGCGCCTAGTCTGTTTTGGAGTGAAAGCCATCTAGTCTGTCCTCATTCTCCCCGAGTCACCCCTTCTCTGGTGGGCATATTCCAGCCGCAGATCCTGCGCATGAACCCCTGAAAAAGCCATCGGCAGGATCGCCTCAGTACCCTGGACAGGTCTGAGTCTCGCCTCCAAGAAGGCGCGGAGGTCCCGCCACGGTCCTCCACCTGCTGGGAAATCCGAGCTGTTCTTCCAGTCTCGGCGGCTGCAGAGCTCGCTCCTCCCTGCTTGCCTGCCTGGTTCAGCTCTGCACGCCCCCCAACTCGCTCCCGCCC